CTCTTGCACCTCTAACAACCAGCCAAGGGTTGGGGTGTTTTCTCTGCTTGTGAACATGAAGTAGAAGGAAGACTTCCAGTTGAAACAGCTTTGCTAGAGAAACACTGGAGCGGGCTGTCATGCCTTCGGCACGGCACGGGATGCAAACCTTGCTTTTACCGAAGGTAATTTTACAGATCTGCCTGGAGGCATGAAAACCCAAAGAAAAGAAGAGAGAGCTCTTAATATCTTTTTCCACCTGTGATGCAGAACACATTTAGACTTTGAATTCAGCCATCAAGAAGAACGGTGCCTGAACACTGTTCCTTGACCTTTAAAATGCAGTTATTTTCCAAATCGGTAAGCAAATGCGCACCCTTAAGGAAGTTTACAGATGTGCATTGTCCAAGCGTTTCACATCAGTCTGGGAAGAAGTGTCTGAGTCAACTGGAAGAAAATAGAAGGGAGGCTCTTTGTGCCTGAAAAAACATCACCGGGGCAGTTTTTATAAATGGCCTTACATCAGTAAAGACCCTTAAATTGTACTCACTGCTGCTGAGTAGTTGCGAGCCCACTTAAACAAGCGAAGGTATTTAAATGTGTTAACTCCTCTCGCGCGCACCGATGTGCACAAACACCTACAAATACTTCACTTTTCAAGTCCCATCGCTGCTAGAGGAGGCGCGTAAGACAGTGAGCAGCAGTGATTCCCCGTCAGCGAAGGGAACCCTCATCCCGCTCCTCTGTGGATTCCTGGTCTCGTATTTGCAAGCGAGAGCTTCCCCTGTAACTGCTGCTGGAGAAAGGTGTTAAGGGCTGGAAAAGGTGGTTGTGGAGGGAAATACTTCCCATCATCTCAATTGCTCTGTGGCGTTTTCCAAAGCCGCTTAATAGGTTCAGTTTTCTGATTGCGGGCCAGGTAATTGGTCCTGTAGCTCACTTGATTTCAGGAAAACTCTGTCTAAGCATCCTCCCCCTCCCTGGTTTCAACACACTATGACGTTGATGAAACAGGAGCTAATTTCTGATTGAGCCCCGAAGCCCGGCCCACCTTCTGGTGGCCTAGAAAATTTTCAGTCACTCAACTTTGGCAAATAAAGGCCATTTCAGGCTTGTAGAAAACCCAGGGATAACTTAGGCCTGGGCATGAAACCATTTAGTGTTTTCTGTGCTTTGCTGCGTGGCCGAGACTCCTTTTTTTACGGGAGTTGAGGGGATGTTTAAGTATCGTTTCAAGGCTATTTTGGCAAAATCCGTCCTTGTTACTCAAGTCGGGTGCCTTGGTTCTGACTTGGTCCTGACAGCAGGAGCCGCTCTCAGCTGCGCTGTAGTGAGGTCTTCTGCGTCTCAGGTGGGTGCTGCGTGCGACTCGCCGCTCACTTACTGCTGGGAGCGCTGCGTACAAAACAGGCTGCAAAGCGCTTTCAGTTTAACATGAATTATTCTTTCTAGGGGAAAATATCTGGAAAGTCAAATGGTTTGAATTTCCTTTCCTGGTGGCAGGTGGAAGAAAGGGAGGAAATAACCTAACGCATCGTACCCAGTCAGTGCAGACACCTTTTGCAACTCATGGAGTACATTTTGAAAAAAAAAAAAAATAAAAATGCCCTTTGCAATAAAATATTCCTCCAGAAAAATAAACTGGAGTCCAGAAGCTTGTGGATTTTCTGGTGGGTAGAAAGCAACCGGGCGTCTTGGCTTTTTTGTTCTTGTTGTTGGAGGAGGGAAAACATCTGAGACGTGGTCTCGCGCGTTCAGAAATGAGGAGGAGCTGATGTTGCGATGTAAACGGGGCACACTTCGGCCTCTTCTCCCGGTTCAGTTTTTCCACACGAGCATAAAGCGGGTCCTGACCCAGCCGCTTCCCCAGAGAAGCGGGTACCAGCGCCCTGGGGGGACCTGGAAGTGAAGAGGTGAAGGTTTTGATGGACTTCGGTTTGTCCAGGGAGTGACAGTCACCTGAAGGCGCTGGCACGGTGGCTCCACCTTGCCGCTCTCTCAACGAGCAGGAGGAATCATTCCCACAAACCCATCGCATTGCAGCAAACGAGAATACGCCACTGGGGCAGAACTGGGGCGCAGTTTGTTCTGACGTCAGCTACGCTCTTATCCTCCAATGCATCCTCAGTTCATCGATGATAAAAAAATAAGCCGAAGTATTTGGGTTTTCCACGTTCCCTGGAGTACCCAGGTGTGCCTTCCAGCTGACAGGGCTTTTCTCGGGATTTGCCGCGTGCCACCAAGGGCAGGTTTTTCACCTCAGCCTTTTGCTAGACCTCGGGCATCTGCTGCTGCGGGTGCGTGCCCGGCTGTCCCGGTGTTCCTGCTGCTCCTCATCTGCTTCTGTTCTTTATCTCAAGACAAGCGTTCTGTTCTTGGTGGAGAGAGGGAGCAGTAAAGCTCTGCAACTCGCTGGAGATATTTCCAGCCGGGGAGGTCTGTGCTGGAAGGGGGTGGGATGCTGTGACCACACCGGCCAGCAGAAAATACCTGCCGAGCTGCCTGCTCTGCCCACGCTGCTGTTCCGCTTCCCCGTGAACGTGGCGGCTGTCCCACCACAGGCAAATTTTTCATTTTTCCGTCAAAATAGAGTTTGTAAAGCAAAAGCAAATAACGTCAGCTTGAAGGAGCAGAAAGCTTTTCCTCTTAAGATGCCTTCCCTCCTGTATATTCAAAAATCCAGCGCGCCAGGGCAGAGAAAGTTTAGCCTCATCCAGGCGTCGTTGACCTCACGTAACTGCTTCGTGCTCTGGAAGGAACGTCATGTTCAATCCACTGTTTATTCCTGTTTCAGTAGTCAGGGCACCGAGTTTGCTTCCTCAAACCGCTTGAGACTCTCAGTGCATCCCAGTCCCGTATGTCGCCATTCAGCACGAGCTCAGAAATCAGTGCGTATTGCTCAAATAAGAATTTACCGCTCGAGCAAAGGAGGATTTAATCCTTTATGAGGCGGGCACTGGGGTCTTGAAGCAGATCCCTCTCCATCCCCGGTCAGCAGCATCCAGCCCACTCTCTTCTCGGAGGTCTACAGTGGTTTTGCTTTGTAAAGATCCAAAGTCCATGACAGCAGCTGAAATTCTTTGACAGGACGTCGCTAAAATCGTGGTGGTGTCGGGTGAAGCAGTGGCAGAGTTTTGCTGACCCCCGGCTGTGGGTTTGTGGAGGGGACAGCTTCATTGCAACAGTCTTTTCCTTCAGGTTTGGTTTTGTTCCGTTGTGGCAACAGGTTCGAGCTGGTTCATCGTTCCCGGTGTCACCAGGGGAACCACAGGTTGGTTGTGTTGTGCTCTGTGCATTGTGAAATTCTCTGCTTTGCCAGTAAATAATTGTAAAAAATCCCAACTGTGCTGTGGGTCGATTTACGTTAAAGACTGAAGGTCAGAGCTATCTGGTCAGTAAAAATTCCCCATTAACCTTTTGTCCTCTTCCAGTCTCAAGACTGCGCATCTTTTGGTGTGTTGGTTATTTTTTTTTCTCTTTTGGAAACTGATCCTTCAGGACAGTCATTGTGTTAAGTATATTTTATGAAGAAACCAGAGTTTCTAGTGGTGTCTCCCCTGAGTATTTTCAGCAAATTTCATTAGGCACCTTCAAAAAAAGCTTCCGTAATTCTTGGTTTTGCTACAAGAACTGGTCCCTCGAGGGGAACCAAAATGCTGCTTGAAAAACAAACAAACAAAACATACAAACAAAAAACCCAAAACACTCATCCTGATAATAAATTCAAAGCATCTAGTCCTTTGTTCGTAACCTCTCAGTCACCCTAATTCCAGATCAGCAGAAGATGCTGTTGAGATGTTCCCCTGTAGCGTACCAACAAGTCGAGAGTTAGAGAAAGGTGCGTCCTGCCGCGGGGTCTGGCGAACCCTCTGCTCCTACTTGAAATTCAAGTGTTGGGGAGAGCATCCCGGTGCCGAGGAGAGCATCCCGGCGCCAAGGAGCATCCTGCACCCGAGGAGAGCATCCCAGACCCGAGGAGAGCATCCCGGCCCTCGAGCTGGCCCTGGCGGGAGGAAGGGGCTGGGACCAGACGATCCACCCGCATCACGGTGTTCCTGCTCTGTCGGGTCACCTTTTCCTGACTCGAATTTTCACGTGAGGCATCACAGAGTTGATATTTTGGGTCTTGCTTTGGCTGTACAAGACCACAGTCAGTGGTGAAACACGAGGATAAGACCAGCGTATGCTTAGGTGAGGTGAGGGCACCTTTTTCTGTTCTCTCTCGCTTTGGCAATGTCACTGGTCACAGGCTACATGCTACCGACAAAAAAAAAAAAAAAAAAGTTAAATAAAAAAGAAAAATGGCCACCAGAAGTGCTTGCTGAGTGTGGCAGGATTGGTGTCGGAAAACGAACAAACGGGAAGTGACTGGCAGATGTTTCCGGACAATCCGGAGTCTCTTAGATATTGCAGAGAGTGAGTGTGTTGTTAGCACGTGGCAAGCTACATAATAGAAGATGCTACATTCCTTGGGAAAAAAAAAAAAAAAAAAAATAGTGCTGAGTTGGATTTTTAATCTGAGGTTTTTTTTCTTTGAGAAGCTACCTTTTCCTCAGAGGCAAGGAAATGAAATCGAAGGAAAAGAAACCTCGTCAACGTGCTGCTTGCAGCGGTGCTGAATGAATCGGACCGAGATGCTCTCGCTGGGTGGTCAGGAGAGAAACGTGTCGCTTCGGTTCCTTTCCCCCGGGGTGACGGGACGAGGTGCGGTAACAGTCTCGGGGTCGGTCGGCAGTCGCAGCCCTCAGTTTGCCTCATGGGGTTGGGGTTGGTTGGTTTTTTTGCTTCTCCTTCCCCCCTGCCTCAAAACACACGGCCCTCGCTCCCTCTCCAACATCCCCCTCTGCGTGCCGGGAGGAGCGTGTGGAGAGCGGGTTTGTTTCGGGAAGGAGATTTAAAAAAAAAAAAATAAAAAAGAGAAAAAAACAAAAAAAGACAGGATATTTACAGCTATCCACTAACAGTTTTGGTAGGTCAGGACGTCTCCTTTCCCCTCCCGGCCTCTCCCACCAACCTGCCGCCTATGGGCAGGAGGGACTGGTGGAACTCTCCAGGGAGGACTGGGAGAGGCGGCGCGCCAGGGGTCCGATGCTGGAGTCGGCCAGCGAGGAGGTGGGGAAGAGTTTGTACCAGCCCGCGACCACGCTGGAGAGATCGAGCTCCTCCAAGACGATCTGGGCCATCCCCATGAAGCACTTGTGGTCCATGCGCCCGTAATCTCCCCAGACGATCACCTGCGGGGCAGAGAAGGCATTGGGGGAGCTGCCCCACTCGCCGGCTGGGAGTTTTGGGGAAAACTCGGCAAATTCAGCGTGTCTGGCCGGGAAGGACCCGCTGTGATGGGGGTAGGGAGGCTGCAGTCTGAAGGACAGCAGTGAGGACGCTGGGTTTCTGCGGCCTGTCCTCGCTCCCCTCATCCCTCCCTGACCCCAAGTACCTGCGCGGGGAGTACCTCACCTGCAGGACTTTGCCCTGGGGGCTCTCCTCGAAGAGCAGAGGCTGCTGGCAGGACGGGTCGCAGGTTTTCTTCACCACCTTGGTCTTCTTCTTGGCCAGGCAGACGCCGTTCTCCAGCAGGTAAACTTTCACGTAGGTGGCTGCGTTGGAAAACGGGGGAGAAACACTGACGCGGAGCAGTCTCCTGCGACGGTTCCATCACAGCGCCCGTCCCCGTTGCTCCCCCTCCCTCCC